AGGATATCAGGATATCATATACAGATCGCATTTATGGCCCGATCCTTACGAAATTTTGCATGGAGATAAGATGAGGGTCAGAATAGATGCCTACTCTTTTTGGAGATGATCGCCATATATTTAGGGGTTGAAATGGACCAAACAACTGCAAAATTGTCAGCAGGTCGTAATTATGGGGGTTACCGGACATTGCGAAAGCCAAGCAGTTTTGGATTTTTGAAAATTTTTGAAAAATATTCAATGTGTGAAGGAGATTGCCAACTTTTATAGACAAAATACGAAAATGTCCATTCCAGTGACATTTTGGAGAATTCACAAATACAGGAAAGACGCACTTCTGACTATTTCGTTAACGCTGATTTCGTTGAAGAATATAGTCAAATTTCTGTATCTCATATAGATGCGTTTCAGTCAAAAACAAATATTAAATGTTAATCTTTTGCCACTTCTGAGAGATTATAGGTCTTTGGGAAATATTGGTTCCAGATCTAGGAAGACCATTCACGAGCAACAGTTTAAGTTGCTATTATTCGAAAATTAGAGAACGAAACTTGATGGTTTTCTTTTATTATTTGTCACAATATCTTGTGGAATTCTTTCGAGTATTTCGCATATATAAACTGTATGGTTTATTATAGTGTTGTAGGGTATTCAACGGTCGGCCACGCTCGACTGTAGCCTTTGCTTACTTGTTTTTTAATTAATATTTGTTTTCCAGATCACTTTTTCCCTGGGCCGATTAGGGTGTTTATTTTCTATTTAACACACGCTCCTATTCTATTTGATTGATTTCTTTTGGCTGAATATTTAGAACTTACATGCTGGCGATGAGAGAGCGTAATGCTGAGAAAATTTACAATGCTGAGAAAATTGTGATCTCATCGAAGTTACGTACATAGCAACATGTGTTGTGTGATGTTGAAATCTAGTTTTACAAATGCCAATCATTTCCATATTATCGCTTATGTCACCCAAGAAATGTTGGTAACTCGAAGCCAAAGTGGCAACATAAGTTTTCCCATGGTGGATGGCACGCCATATGAACGGAGTAAACAGAAAACCGAACAGCCTACAATTTTGCCGTCAAAGGTCTTAAAAGTTTAATTGGATCAATGTCCGATTATCTTCAAATTTGAAGACAAATGTTTGGAAATAGAATATAACAAGTAATAAAAGGCTATAGTCGTGCGGGGCCGACCATGTGATACCCTACAACACTACAATATGTTCGAAGTCCCCTTATATCTAAATCCATCTTGGAAGATTTCATTTTTGAAATAATGTCAAAGAGCCTCGCTCAGAGGTTACATTTAGTTTTTTGGCCCGGAGAATTTGGCAAAAGTTGTGAAAGTTTTGGTCCATTTTACAGCTAAATGTAATCCAATGGTCATCCAAAATACTAGACTTCTTCCCTCTCCTTAACACTCTTCCGATGCGAAATTCCGTGTCGATTAGTTTCAATTGTGGCCTATAGAGCGAATACAAACATAGAAAAAAATATTCTTTTTTACTCCATTTGCATCTCTAAATGTACATCTTAAGAACAATAGGCTTTAATTCTGACCCTACCCCTAACACCATGCCAAATTTCGTGACGATCGGACAATCGCTTGTCACCATGACAAGCATATAATACCCTCAAAACGTTGTGTTGAAGGGTGTAAACATTTAGCAAAAGACCATTCCGAATTGATGGGAATTGTGAAAATCGGTCCAGCGGTTCTTGATTTATATAGCAGATAAAATAAGATCAATTCTTTTACATATATATTGTACCCATTTTGCTATATATCCGATTTCTTGGCAGTTAGCATCACTGTAATGGTCAGAAGTGATCTTTTAATGAATTTGTGATTTGGCTGGTGTTGAAAATATTTGCGGTTTAGTGGAAATTTTCCTATTTTCTTACATAAAAGTTAGGGTCTATTTTACCCGCTAATTATTGTCCGATTGCCGCTGTAACTGTAACTCCATATAAATTTTCGCGTCGATTGGTTCATAATTGTAACCTATAGAGCAACTGCAAAATCAGGAAATTTGTCTGTTTTTGGTAAATTTCAACCCCTAAATATCGTGCGATCATCGCCAAAAACAATAGGGTTCTATTCTGACCATTACCCCAGCTCCATTTTCTATTTCGTGAGGATCGGTTCATAATTGCGACCTGTAGCTTGATTACAAATTAACATGGACAGACGGACGGACGGACATACATAGCTAGATCGACTCATCTCGGCGAGATGGGAAGATCCATATATACTTTCTTATGTGGGAAACCAATATTTCGAGGTGTTACATAATTTTTGGCCCAATCAAATTTATAATACCCCCAACACATAGTGTTGTAGGGTATAAAAAGCGTTTCAATACTACTAATCGTTCTGATATTTTGAATGATGTGAAAAATAATTCGATTTGAAGAAATTTGAAGGTTTTAGGCATATTTTTTTCAAATGGATTGAAATATGTTATTTGGTGGTCTAAGCGGATACCTGTAGTGGGATTCTTTAACTCATTTTTGAGTTACCGACAAAAATTGTTAATTTCAAAAGCAAAATTTTGATATAAAAAATAAATAAAAGTTGAAAACATTGGTATCTATCGGCAGATCTTACCGAAAAAAATTGGTTAATTACCAAAATTATAAGCATTTGAATTTTACCGATTTTTTTCGGTAACTCAGAAAATGAGTTAGAGAATTCCACTACTGATGTCCTTTCCAATAACATTTAGTATGGGTCCACAATTTGATGTAGCTCCCATACAACCCTACCCCCATTTTGAATTCATTGAAGGGTTTTTATAAGCTCAGTCATATAGCTAAAAAGGGTATATATCATTTGATATGACCAAAACGTGTCTCATCTTAAACTCCAGCTCTCTTTGGACAAAATTGGTTTCAGTACGTTTGGAGACGATGTAGGGTTGTTCGTCCGTCTGTCTGGCTGTTGCGCACGATAACTATACAAGGAAGTATACGACGTAGTACAAACGTGATACATCCTAATATTATTATAAAACTTAGATCGAGTTCGGACATGGGTACTGTCGGTGCAATCCTTTTGGTACCTCCCCAAAAAAGTCTAATGTTCGCAGAGCAATTCCTTTCCAACTTTTTTATACCTTCAGCCATATGGCTAGAAAGGGTATGTATTATTTGATACGGCCGCATCGAAATAACGGTCTTAGACCCTACGTCTCATTGGACCAAATCCGTTGCAGGACATTTGGAGTTGATTTAGCGATATCCATCCGTCCGTCCGTCTGGCTAGCACGACAACTCTCGAAGAGAGTATCCGATTTACTCCAAATCGAAATATTATTATGAAACTTAGATCGAGTTCGTTGATAGGTGAAATCGGTTCACTACTTCTGATACCTCCCCAACAAAAGTTCGAAATATATATTTTACTGCACAGAAAGAGAAGTGATAATAATCCAAATATTTTCATCAGTGCTAGGTTAGGTGCGAAAATGGACAATTTCGGTCTACTACATCAAGTCCCCTTCCCCTCCTCCCCTCACCCACAAAGTGTCAAAATTTAGAATAATTATAACTCCTATAAAATGTGATATAAGAGTCCCATTGTCTTAAATCACATAAATCACAATATTTTTATTAACCCAAGGTCTGGTGTGAATATAGAATATATCGGTCCACTACCTCCACCCAAAGGATGCAAATTTTGAATATCCATGAAGCTCATAAAATTCGAAATTAACATAAAATTCCATTCAGACTTGGTACATATCAATATTTCCATCAACACAAGATCTGTTATAAATATGCCGGAGATCGGACCATTCCTTCTGGTACCTCCCCTACAAAGGGTCAAAATTTTGAATAACCAAAAACCAATTATAATATCCGAAATAAGCATCCGGTTCTCTTCATATTTCACACATCCCATTATTTCTACGTGCACAAGATCTGCTGTGAAGGTGGGATATATCGGTTCACTCCTTCTGGTACCTCCTTCACAGCGGATCATCATTTTGAATATCAATGAAGCTCATAAAACATTCCATTCAGACTTGGCACATCTAATATTTCCATCAACACAAGATCTGTTACAAAAATTTTAGAGATAGGACCATTCCTACTAGTACCCCCCCAAAAAGGGTGAAAATTTTGAATAACCAAAACGATTATAATATCCGAAATAAGCATCCTGTTCTCTCCATGTTTTACACATCCCATTACTTCTACTAACATAATATCTGCTGTAAAGATGGAATATATCGGTCCACTTCTTCTGGTATCTCTGGGTCTAAATTTTGAATAATTATATCTCTTATAAAATTTAATGTTAAAGTCCGATTGTCTCAAAGTTACACATATCACAGTATTTTTATTAACTCAAGGTCTGGCGTGAAGGTGAAATATATAGATCCACTCCTACTGTTACCTCCCCCACAAAGGCTCAAAATGTTCATAGTACGCGTAATTAACATCCGATCCCACCCAAACTTGGCACATGTCAATGTTTCTATTAACACAAGATATGTTATAAAGATGCTGGAGGTCGGACCATCTCTTCTGGTACCTCCACCACATAGAGTTCAAGATTTTGAAAAACAAAACGCCCAAATAAAGCGAGTATCCAACTCTCTTCAAATTTCACACATCCACATATTTTTGCTAATACAAGATCTGTTTTGAAGATGCTATATATGTGCGAACCCATTCTAGTACCTCACCCACAAAGGGTCAACATTTTCAATTGTTTTATCTGCCATAACTTGTGAAACAACTGGCTACATCTAAATATTTCTCTCAACCAGAAACCTGAGATGAATATGGAATTTATTTTTTTTTTTCGAATAAAATTGGATATAAATGTTCGATTTTCTTGTAATTTTGCCGAAACCAATATATTTATCTGTGTTAAGCGGTGTATGAAAATTGAATATTTGGGTCGACTATACCTGGTACCTCCCGCGCATTTTAAAATACTTCATATTAAGTGAAGGAAGTAGTCGATGGAGTCCAAACCTGGTACGTCGCAATATTTATATGATATTTATTTAAGTTCGACAGGAAATGGACAATATTGGCCCATTCCTTCGGAGCCTACTACAATTTGAATAATCATAACTGAAGACCAAAAGATATTTAAGTAATCGAACATCGGCTGAAAGTATACAGCTGCCAAAGCGACTGATATAATATCATGGATTTTGCTTTACTCTTATATTATAGAATATGTTGCCGATCTATTTGCCTAGTATTAAACCCTCTCTTCTAAGCGCTGCTTAGAAATATTAAATGTTTAACCTTTATTTAGATTTTATTGGAATTCGCTCTTCTCTCAATAGTTAGCGGTGGATGTTCTTTCAGCTGAATTGAAATATGATTGTGAATCTCTAAATCTTCTAATTTAGCTGTGGTTGAAAATTTGTAACGCTTTATAATTTTGGCCATGGTAACTCTGAGCACAATCTCGGCATAACGCATTCCTAAAAGAGACCAACAAATACATTATGTTTAAAACCTCTATTAAATTAATTTCCAATTTACCCAAGCAAAATCGTATCCCCTTGGAAAATGGTATAAAGGCATATGGGTGCCTATTCTCCATGTTGGCGGGTAGGAAATTATCCGGATTGAAAATATTTGCATGCGGCCCCCATACATCTTTATTGTGATGGACATTATAGACATTAATTATCAGTTCCAGACCTTCAGGTAAAACAGCGCCACTACTCAGCCTTAGATCTCCGCCCACAACTAGACGGCCGAAGTGGGGAATTGTCGGAAATAGACGCATCGTTTCTTTTATAAACATATCAAGATAGCTAAGCTGCGTGATATGTTCATACGTCAGCTCGAACTCTCCGTCATCGTTTTCTGGAAATACTTCACACACTTCAGCATAGGCTCGCTCTTGATACTCCGGATGCATGGCCAACATCAGCATAACAAAATACATTGTGGATGAATTGGTCTCAAAGGCCTAGAGAGGGAGTTATATATATTTTTTATATGTTTTTTTTAGTATTTTTTCGTCACAACATACCGCACTAAATACATGCACCATACTCGATATCGCCAAATGTCTTCCAATCGTATCATTTTTCAGAGCTTCCAGAACAGTTGCAATAACCAGGTTATCTTTTGTTTTAACATTTTGAGAAGTTGGTTGATTGCCATCTGAGTAGTAATCGATGTTCTGAAAACAAGAAAAAAGTTTTTTAACACAAAAGTCTTAAAGAGTTAAAAAAACACTGAGCGGCAAAATCTGACAATTACAGGAAAAAAATAGCAGATCCTGAAAGTGCTCAAATAAAAGAAGACACGTGTATATGAGTTTTGAGAGCTTTCATCGCAAATTAACCTTCATAAGAATCTCTCACATTTTTTCCGAAAAAGATCTTTTTAATCCTTATATATTTTGGGTATCATAAGTTTAATTGGACCAAAAATTATGTAACTCCTCAAAATATTGGTCCTACACACAGGAAACCATGTATGAATCTTCCTATCTCGCCGAGCTGAGTCGATCTAGCTATGTATGTTAGTCCGTCCGTCCATCCGTCCATCCGTCCATCCGTCTGTCAATTGTGGCCCGATCCTCATGAAATTGATAATGTAGGAGGGGTTAAGGTCAAGATAGAAGTCTATTGCTTTTGGAGATGATTGCAAAATATGTTGGGGTAAAAATTGACCAAAAACAAAAAAATATTCTGGTTTTGCCGTGGCTCTACAGTACAAAATTTTAGACAATAGACCCGGAATTTAGTATGTAGTTAGAGTTTAGGGCACACTTAATCACAATTACATTGAAAGGTCACTTCTGATCATTACAGTGATGCTGATAGTCAAAATATCAGATATATAGCACACATAGTACAATTATTATTATTATTTTTTTTTAAATTTATTGAATGAAAGTAAAAAATGTCGGAAGTAGCATCAAGTTTTAGAATAAGTTTAGATTTGTTCGAATTGGTCACCTTTGGCACGAATTATGGACTTCAAACGGCCAATGAAACCGTCACACGCTGCCCGAATGTTGCTTTGCGGTATTTTGGCCCATTCCCGGCGAAGCGCTTGCTTGAGGTGATCGACACTTTGGTATTTTTTAGTGGCAACCTTGCTTTCCAAAATACTCCAGACACTATAGTCCAACGGATTGGTATCCGTAGAGTTTGGTGGCCATTGTGCGCTGGAAATGAAGCGAGGAACCTCATTTCGTAACCATTCTTGGATGGCACGTGCTGAGTGCGATGCGGCTGAGTCCTGTTGGAATGTCCAAGCTCTGCGGTCAAAATATTTGAGTGTAATTTAATACTCCCTCTAAAATATTTTCGCGATAAATTCGGCGATTATTCTGATGTCACAGTCGATTAATACGAGCGGAGAGCGACCATCGGCTGTTATGGCGGCCCACACCATCACCATGGGGCTTGAGTTCTGGTGGCCAACCGAAGGTGAACATTTTCAGCTGACCTCTTTGGCAAGTAAACACGAACGATCATTTTGTTTATCTACAAACTGCTGGACAACGAATGTTGTCTCATCGGATAAACCCAAATTCGGCAGTTCACCACTTTCGACCAAGCGAAGCAACTCTTTAGCTCTTTTCAGTCTATTTTCTTTATGATGAGGTGTAATTTCTTGCACTTTTTGGAATTTCAATAGCTTTACCCCGACCCCATTTTTTAATATATGCCGAATGGAATATTGCGATATGTTCAGTTCACGAGCCATTTTTCGGCCACTGCGACACGGGTTTCGATCATCACGAATAACCTTTTTTCTGGAAAATTCTCACCAAAATGTTTTTGTACGCTTGTAAACAACATAATGAGATGTTACTGGAGTAATTTTAACAGCTGTCGGACGAGTGGCTTAGAAATGACAGCAGTCTGAAGTTGGTTGCAGTTTTTGTATATATGGATCTTCCTATTTCGCCGAGCTTAGTCGATCTAGCTATATATGTAAATCCGTCTGCTTGTCAATTATGGACCGATCGTCACGAAATTTAAAATGAAGGTGGGGAATGGAAGAATATTGTTTTTGGATATGATCGCAAAATATTTAGGGGTAGAAATTGACCAAAAACAGAAAAATGTCCTGATTTTGCTGTTGCTCTATAGGCCACAATTTAAAGCAATTAAAGCGAGATTTTGCATGGAATCAAAGCTTAAGACATTAAAAGGTCACTTCCATTACAGTGATGCTGATAGCCAATATATGGACTATAAAGCAAAATAGGTACAATATTAGTTAGTCTGCTTATATCACCAATTCGGAATAGTATCTTGCCAGAAAAGGATAAAATATAAGAAAATCTGTAAATATTATGCAAATAAGAAGATGAATTTTATAACCCCCGCCATATGGCTGCAGAGGGTATCGTAATATTATTATCACACTTAGATCGAGAGCGGAGATGTTCAGTATCGGTCCACTCCTTCTGATACCTCTCCCACAAAAAGTCGAAATTTTCAAAAAAATATTTTGCTGTACAGAAAAAGAGAAAGGGTAATTCAATTTTGTTCCAACTTTGCAACTCCTAGTATTTACATTATTGCTAGGTCAGGTGCTAAAAAGGAAAATATCGGTCTACTCCATCAAGTACCTCCCGCAGAGGTGGTTAATATTTTGAATAATTATAACTCTTATAAAATGTGACCTTAGACTCCGATTGTTTTCAAATTACACACATCACAATAATTTTAACCTAAGGTCTGGTGTGAAGATTGAATGCATTGGTCCACTCCTTCTCCTCCACAAAGGGTCAACATTTTGAATAACCTAAACGATTATATCATCCGAAATAAGCATCCGGTTCCCTTCATATTTTTTACACATCCGATTATTTCTATTAGAAGAAGATCTGCTGAGAAGATGGAATGTAACGGTTTACTCCTTCTCACACCTTCCACACAAATGGTAAAAATTTTGAATGATCTTGTGTTGATGGAAATATTGTGATGTGCCAAGTCTGAATAGAATCGGATGTTAATTTCGCATATTATGAGATTCATGGTTATACAAAATGTTGACCCTTTGTAGGGAGGTCTTTACACCACACCTTGGGTTAATAAAAATATTGTGATGTGTGCAATTTGAAGAAAATCGGACTCTTATATCATAATTTTTCAGAGTTAAAATTATTCAAAATGTTGACCCATTGTGTGGCAGGTACTTGATGGAGTGGTCCGGTATTGTCCATTTTCGCACTGATGGAAATATTAGGATTTGCAAAGTTGAAGCAAAATAGGATTATCCTTTTTTTGTTTAAAATTTTGACCTTTTGTAGAGAAGGTACAAGAAGGAGTGGACCGAATTGCCCATCTACGAACTCAATCTAAGTTTGATAATAATATTACGATGTACCAAGTTTGGACCAAATCGGATACTTCCTTCTAGAGTTATAGTGCGCATCTGCCAGCCAGACAGACGGACGAACGGACATCGACTCCAAATGTCCTGAAACGGATTTGTCCCAAAGAGAACTAAGGTCTAAAACCGTTGTTTCGATGAGGTACATTTTGGCCGTATCAAGTGATATATATACTCCTGTGGCCATATGACTGAGGGTATAAAAAAATGTTCTACTCATTTTTACTCTTTCAGCAAACTCTTGGTATATTTTGAGTGATTCTGCTCTCACTCTAATTTTGTCAAACAGAAGCGTTCTCACACAAAACAAAAGAGTCAAGAATGGACTCCGTAAAAAACTCTCACTCTTTGAGCAACCCTGCTCGCGAGCAAGTTTCGCCCCCGGAGTGACAATGAGTAAATCTGAGCTCTGCTTAAGCCACAGTTTTTCAACGAAGTTAGCTTAAAATTATTATTTGGAGTTCGCAATAGGCACTTCATTATCTGACACAAAAGTTTTCACCTCTTCATCCACTGCTTTTCCTAGCTGTTTTCATATTCCTAAAAATTCTTCCTTCCGTAGTTTTGCCTGAGCGTTAATGAATCACTCACTTTCTCTTTTTATACCCTACAACACTATGTGTTGGGGGTATTATAAGTTTGATTGGGCCAAAAATTATGTAACACCTCGAAATATTGATTTCCCACATAGGAAAGTATATATGGATCTTCCTATCTCGCCGAGCTGAGTCGATCTAGCTATGTATGTCCGTCCGTCTGTCCGTCTGTCCATGTTAATTTGTAATCACTCTACAGGTCGCAATTATGGTCCGATCTTCACGAAATTCAGAATGAAGGTGGGGATAGGGGCAGAATAAAACCCTATTTCTTTTGGATGATCGCATAATATTTAGGGGTTTAAATGGACCAAAAACTGAAAAAAATCCTGATTTTGCAGTTGCTCTGCAGGTCGCAATTATAGATCAATCGACGCGGAAGTTAGCATGGGGCTAGAGCTTAGGGCTGGGCGGAAGTCTTCCAATTTTGATGGTCATCGGGTAATATTTAGTGGTTGAAATAGACCATAGCATTTGTGTTAAATAAATGTCAAATTTTCATTAAACCGCGAATATTTTTAATGCCGGCGAAATCACAAATAGACGTATATATCGGATATATATAGCGAAATATTTACAATATATATATACAAATATCTTATATCCTTATATCTTCAGAATGGCTGGAGCGATTTTGACAACTTTTGTAACTTTAAAATGCCCATTTGACATAAAAGTATAAAATCTAAAAAAATCGCATAAAACGATGCCAATTATGATGTTAATACAGACTTTTTAGTATTTTGTGACATTTTTTTATTTTTTATCGCATGCGATTTTTTCAATTTGACTTATAATATTGAAGTGTATATTTTGTAATATTTTTCCACTTTACAACACAGGTTGGTATTATTATATACAGATTGCAATTATCGTCCGATCCTCACGTTCACAAGGGTAGGATTAGGCTCAGAAGGGCTAGGCCTATTGTTTTCAAAGATGTCCGCACTATATTTAGAGGTTGAAATGGACCAACAATTAAAAATATTCCTGATTTTGCAGCCGTTATAAAGGTCACAAATAGAAACCAAAGAACACGAAATCTCGCATGAAGTTAAATTTTAGGACAGCGGGTAGAATGGACCACTACTTTTGTGTGAAAAAATACCAACATTACTTACAGGCGATATTCGAAATACACAAATGGCGAACTTCTGGCTTTTTATGCCAAATAACGTAGACAAGAAAATCATATAGATTAGTCTAGATTTGGAGATACAGAGGGGCCTCTTGCTTTTGGAGATGATCGCAAAATATTTAGGGGTTCAAATGAACCAAAAACAGAAAAATGTTCCTGATCACACAATTGAAGCAAATCGACACGCCTGTGAGAGAGTTAAGGACAGGAAAAAAGTCTAGCATTTTGGATGACCTTTGGATTATATTCAGCTGTAAATGGACGACAACAACTAACAACATAATTTTAAAAACGAAAAAAATGGATTTGAACATAAGGGGGCTTCTATCATATTGTGGTGTTGTAGGGTATCACATGGTCGGCCCCGCACGACTATAGCCTTTGCTTACTTGTTTTGTTAGTAAATATAATTAACTATTAATGTTTTTGTTTACCTTATCAATTAAATTCGCCAAAAACTCCGATGTTATTCGAGCCCCCTTAAAGATTGTTAAATTTGCCAAATTCAAAATGAAATTGTTGTGATAAAACACTTTGAAAGATATATCCGAAATGTACTTCAAGTTGCTATATAAATAAATAAAATAACATATTTTTTTTATAAAAAATTAAGTAAAAAATAATAAAAAAAAATCTTTTAACTCACCGTGTTATAAGCTGGGCATAATGTTTCACATTGACTTCGGTGGTCTCATTGAAATCTTTTCCCAGTACAGTCTCTATGCAGAAAGGCAAAAAGAAAAAGAAATAGATAAAATCGCCTCTAAAGAGCAGAAACTTCTTCTAAACTTACCGCCCGTAACATCGATTGTATATTCCCGACAATAGACCAGAATATCATAGGAGTTTTTCATTTGATGACATTTATCCATATCCTCAAATATTCGCTTCACTTTTTTATTGAATATCGATAAAAATTCCACAAGTTTGGACGGTTTAAATGCGGGATCAATCAGTTTTCTATGCTGTAGCCATTCGCTTCCTAAAGGAAGTAAAGCAGATTAGTTTTATTCCATTGGGTGAACATTTTCTTTACGAGTAATCCTACCTTGCATTGTTAAAATTCCTTTACCCAGGGCATGATTTAACCCCGTATATGTTAGGTCCCCTTTAAAGACACACAATTTCGAAGTGAGGATATCTTTAATAGTGTCAGGATCACCGGTCACAAATTGAGGATATGGCCCAATGTAGCATAAATGATCCTGCCCAAGTTTTTCGGCATTTTCTAAGCCTTTTTGAATAATGGCTGAAAAATAAAACAGATTGGATGGGAATGGGTTAAAAAGTAGAAAGGAAAGGATTAGGATTAGAAGACTAGAGGGGAAAAGAAAAATGGAGCAGTAATAATTAGGTCCCAGATAGAAAGATATATTTTTTGAAATCAAGCAATGTCATCACACCTGAAAATCATAAGGAACCTATACCATCTCAATATAAGTTCGTAGTTTTTTAATCAACTTGTGAGGTTTGCAATCAAATACCGATTTTCACCATATTGTCGTTTGACGTTTGCGGTGAGTTTGTATGTATGTATGTACTAGCATGCGCCAGCTACTTCGTCAGCGTAAAGTCCACCTTAAACTTTAAATTTGTTTCAAGAGTTCAGGTTAGGTCTTTTTTAATATTCAAGATGCATACTTTTTCCCTTTTTTTGCAAAATATTCTAATTATAACTCATAAATCCTACTTAATTTTCAGACTTCCAAGGTTTTTTATATTATTCAAGTTTTACCCTTTTTAAAAAGAATAATAGGAAAATATTTATCTTTTACACCAAAAAGTCTTCAGAATCTTTCGTTTTGAAGTTGAACGAGGAGGATATTAGTGAAACAATTGTCGAATGGACTCACATCCAAATTTTCTCTCCAAACTATTCCAACAGCTCCATATGTAAACCCAGGAAACCAACAGTGACCTCAATAGCAAAATTCAGAATTTCAGCTCTCTCCCAATAAAAATTAAGTAGCATTTAGTACGCCTATCCAAAACAATCCTTACCTCTTCATCCCAGACACCAACAGTGATCCAAAATTAGTACCATCTAGTCTTTTTCGAAAAATTATAGTACACAGTTCCAAAACCACCTCCGAATCTAATTGCAGATACCAACAGAGACCTCAATATCAATGTTCGAGACTCCATCGCTGTCCCTCCAACCAATACCAAATTTAGTAATATTTAGTACTTTTCGTAGAAATATCGGACGCATTTCCGATCTTCAAAAACAGATACAATTTAAAATACAAATATACAATTTCACCCTTCACCCAATATCAAATTTAGCACTATTCAGTACTTTTCGTACAATTATTGTAAACATTTCTAAAACCCCCTCCATATCTTAATCCTAGACATCAACATAGACCTCCATATCAAATTTCAGGATTCCAGCTCGATCCCTTCGCCCAGCAAGTATTTTTCGTACAGTTATAGATACCAACAGTTTAAGATACCAACAGAGGCCCCAATATCAAATCTGAAGATTTTAGCCCTATCACCCCGACACCAACATAGAACTGAATATTTAATTTCGGGATTCCAGCTTTATCCCGTTATCCAATACCAATTTTAATATTATTTACAGGGTTGCCCATATTCGACGGACCCATGGGCCCATTCCAATCGACGTGGCATGTCCGCAGGCAACATTCTTTGCGTCAATGGAATTTTGTACGGGAACAAATGCAAATCAATGCGAATAATCCGTTGTAAAGTGGACCGAGCCATGCCCAACTGCTGAGAACGGCGTTTTTGGGATGTTCTTGGGGACCTCTCAACACTGGCTCGTACGGCGGATCGCCTTGGTCGACTTTTATATGGCCTCTTCGGATTAGAAAGAGCCTTACCAGTCGAAAATTTTTCGTATAAACGCTTAATGGTGTTCTTACATTTTTTAATGTTTTAAAAGCACGTTGAGTTTTCACAATTGACTTCTTCTGTTGAATGTAAATTTCAACTATTTCGGAGCGCTCGCGTGGCGCGTATTGGTTCATGGTAAAAATCTGCTTGGACTGACGCATCAAACGCGGTATGTCATTAAGCGATGTGACATCTCTGTCAAAAGTTATGGCGTTGCCAGATGGGTCCGTCGAATATGGACAACCCTGTATACCCTCTCTAGCCATATGGCTGAGGATAAAAACCAGCTAAGTTTGGCCGGACGGACTTTTAATAACCACCACCATTTGGAAGAAACTTGCGAGATTTCAAAAAAATTGTCCCGAAAGTATAAAAATACCAAATATAGGGTGGCACAGTTGCTTGTGGGCTATACGTGGATTTGTATAGCTAATTATCTGCCCGAGAAATTCGTGCCTATTTCGAACTCAAAGTACCTATTTTGAGGTAATTCTCCAGAAAAAGTCGCAAAAACCGCAAAAATTTAATAACTGAAGGTATAGAGTTGCTTCGCTTGGCCGAAAGTGGTGGACTACCGAATTTGGTTTTCTCTCTCTCTCTCCGATGTGAAAACATTCGTTGTCCAGCGGTTTGTAAACAAACAAAATGATCGTGTTTTCTTGCCAAAGAGGTCAGCTGAAAATGTGCACCTTCGGTTGGCCACCAGAACTCAAGCGCCGGCCATGGTGATGGTGTGGGCCGCCATAATAGCAGATGGTCGCTCTCCGCTTGTATTAATCGACCATGGCATCAGAATAAATGTCCAATGTTATCGCGAAAATATTGGGCAAGCAAACATTTTGGCCGCAGACCTTGGACGTTATAAGAAGACTAAGCACCATCGCACTCAGCACGCCCAAGAATGGTTACAAAATGAAGTTCCTCGCTTCATTTCTAGCGCACAATGGCCACCAAAATTTCGGGATACCAATTCGTTGGACTATTGTGTCTGGAGTATTTTGAACAGCAAGGTTGGCACTAAAAAATACCAAAGTGTCGATCACCTCAAGCAAGCGCTTCGCCGGGAATTGGCCAAAATACTGCAGAGCATCATTCGGACAGCGTGTGACGGTTTCATTGGCCGTTTGAAGGCCATAATTCGTGCCAAAAGTGACCAATTCGAACTTATCTAAAATTATCTAAAATTATTCTGAAATTTGATGTTATTTCCGACATTTATTGTTTTCATTCAATTAAATTAAAAAAAAAAAAACAGTAAAGAAAGTCCTAAAGTCGGGCGGGCCCGATTTTATGTTACCCTACACCACTTTGCTAGTTTAGTTGAACTCCACTCCAAGTTTTTATGGGAGAATTCAATCATACACGCTATGTTTATAATTATAATTTAAAATTCAAAGGACTAAATATGCCAAAGCATTTGTATCTATTAAATTCGGACTTGTATTGCCCATTTGGTGCAAAATTAATTTGAAATCAGATAAAGATATATATGGCAGCTATATCCAAATCTGTACCGATCTCGATAAAATTTGGCAAATATATTTTTGAGCTGTATTTGATATATTTCCCTGAATATCGTTGTTACGGAGTGCATATTACGGCTGTAGGTAACAAATACAACAAATCGGATGAACAATATATATGGGAGCTATAGCTATATCTGAACCGATCTTCACCAAATTTGGCATACTACCTTCTAGACTAAATTCGGTTGTATGTGCCAAATTCCATCCCATTTGGGCAAATATTAGACGTTTGGTGCACAATAAAAGGTAAATCGGACGAAGTTATATATGACAGCTATATCCAAATCTGAACCGATCTCGATAAAATTTAGCAAAGGTATTTCTGAGCTGCATTTGATATATTTCCCCAAATACTGTTGTTACAGAGTGCATATTACGGCTGCGGAGGATAAAAATAACGAAATCGGATGAACAATATATATGGGAGCTATAGCTATATCTGAACCGATTTCGATCAAATTTGGCATACTTATTTTGGTTGTATGTGCAAAATGTCATACTAATTGGGCTGATATTACACGTTTGGTGCACAAAAAAAAGCAAATCTGACGAAAATATATATGGGAGCTATATCTAAATTTTCACCGATTATCTCCAATTTCAATAGGGTTCGTCCTTGGGCCAAACAAATGTTGTTTGCAAAGTTTTATCTCAATCGGATAATAAATGCGACCTGCATTTTGTGCACAAAAATACATGGACAGACGGACTGACATGCATAAATCAACTCAGAAAGTGATTCTATGCAGATCATCAGAAGGAACTATGGGTCTATCTCGTTTCCTTTTGCCTGTTACAAACAAATGCACAAAGACATAATACCCTGACCACCTTGTGGTGTAGGGTATAAAAATGTAAAAATTATGGCGTTTGACTATATTGCAGTTTTTTTCATCTCACCCTGTATATCCTCGTCCGACTTCAGGGTCATTGGGTATCTTGTTATTTTTGTGTTTTTATACCCTACAACACTATGTGTTGGGGGTATTATAAGTTTGATTGGGCCAGAATTTATGTAACACCTCGAAATATTGGTTTCCCATATAGGAAAGTATATATGGATCTTCCTAGCTCGCCGAGCTGAGTCGATCTAGCTATGTATGTCCGTCCGTCCGTCTGTCCGTCTGTCCGTCTGTCCATGTTAATTTGTAATCACTCTACAGGTCGCAATTATGGCCCGATCTTCACGAAATTTAAAATGTAGGTGGGGTTAATGTCAGAATAGAACCCTATTTCTTTTGGAGATGATCGTTAAATGTTTAGGGGTTGAAAAGGACCAAATACTGAAAAAATGTCGGATTTTGCAGTAGCTATACAGGTCGCAATTACAGACCAATCGACGCGGAATTTGGCATGTAGCTAGAGTTTAGGGCGGCGAAGAAGCCTACCAACTTGGGTGGTCATCGGATTATATTTAGCGGGTAAAATAGGCCATATCTTTTGTATAGAAAAAAAATCGAAATTTTTCATTAAACCGCGAATAGTTTAAATCCCGGCGAAATCACAAAGCCATGACAGTGTTACTTCTGATCTTTACATTGATGTTAAGATCCAACAAATCGAATATATAGCAAAATATGTGCGATATATATGTCTATCACAGAAGATCTCTTATATGTCGAGAACGGCTGAACTGATTTCGACAGTTCTCATTAATTCAGAATGGCCTCTTGGCAGAAAAGAAAAAACGCCTAAAAAATCGCATAAAAATATCTCTCTAAAGATGAAAATATTGATTTTGTAAAATTTTCTCATATTTTTTTCAATTTTGTCATATTTTTGGCATATTTTCATTTTGAATTAAACATTTGGTAATATTTCTACAGCTAACAAAACTAAGCAGTTAGGATATCAGGATATCATATACAGATTACATTTATGGCCCGATCCTAACGAAATTTTGCATGGGTATGAGATGAGGGTCGATTCCAGTGACTCTTTGGAGAATTCACAAATACAGGAAAGACGCTCTTCTGACTATTTCGTTAACGCTGATTTCGTGGAAGAATATAGTCAAATGTCTGTATCTCATATAGATGCGTTTTAGTCAAAAACCAATAATAAATGGTAATCTTTTGCCACTTCTGAGAGATTATAGGTCTTTGGGAAATATTGGTTCCAGATCTATGGAGACCATTTAAGTGCAACATCTACCAATAAATTGGAAATTAGCAAATTAGTTTAAGTTGCAAGCATTCGAAAATTAGAGAACGAAACCTGATGGTTTCTTTTATAATTCGTCACAATATCTTGTGGAATTCTTTCGAGTATCTCGCCTATATAAACTGTATCGTTTATTATAGTGTTGTAGGGTATTCAACGGTCGGCCCCGCTCGACTGTAGCCTTTGTTTACTTGTTTTGAGCTGAATTTGATATATTTCCCTGAATATCGTTGTTACGGAGTGCATATTACGGCTGTAGGTAACATATACAACAAATCGGATGAACAATATATATGGGAGCTATAGCTATATCTGAACCGATCTTCACCAAATTTGGCATACTACCTTCTAGACTAAATTCTGTTGTATGTGCC